TAAAAATTCTAACATTCTAAATTTGCAGTTATTGCTTGTATTTTGGTATTACGTTTTTCTGTTTTTTTAAAGAAAACTGTCTGTATTTTCAGAGAGTAGCACGTAATTTTACATTCATATTTACATATTATTCCTGTAAAAATATGAAAACTAAAACTCTGGCAACTTGTTTTTAGTATTATTAAAGATAGTAATTGGGCTATTTTAACAATCTAGAATCTTATTCTCTTAATGAGTTATGGGTGTGTTTTGAGAATAAACCAATCAGAGACTCATCTCCCATTCCCTTTAAGAGTCAGTTGCGTCGTGCCATGGCACATTTGCTATTTACATGGCGGACTTTGTAAGTGGAAAAACTGAACGCTTCACTGGCAAGAAAACTGTTAAACAGAGCATCTGCAGCGCGAGGACAAAGAATGAGCCTCCATTGGGCCTTTACTGTAACTTTCTTTTTTTTTTTTTGTGGATAAGGGAACAGTGTTGTATGCATAGACATCCATTAGCCTACATAATTAAATTTGCTTGTTAAGCGCAAAGATTTGTTTCAAAACTATTTCTAAATTCAGTTCTAATTTCCAGCAAACAAATTAATAAACAACAATAACGAAGTGTTATATCCAAACACACGTCCAATCCCCATATGGTCCAAAACCTGACAGGTGGACAAATGTAAGCTTGTTTTTAATAAACAAAAATAAATGTGCATATAACAAAATAATAATAATAATAATTATTATTATTATTATTATTATTATTATATAAATTCTTGCTGTCACCTCACAGCAAGAAGGTCACTGGGTCGCTGGTTCAAGCCTCGGCTCAGTTGTGGAGTTTGCAGGTTCTCCCTGCATTCGCATGGGTTTCCTCCGGGTGCTCCGGTTTCCCCCACAGTCCAAAGACATGCGGTACAGGTGAATTGGGTAGCTAAATCGTCCGTAGTGTATGAGTGTGTGTGAATGTGTGTGTGGATGTTTCCCAGAGATGGGTTGCAGCTGGAAGGGCATCCGCTGTGTAAAAACTTGCTGGATAAGTTGGCGGTTCATTCCGCTGTAGCGACCCAGGATTAATAAAAGAACTAAGCTGACAAGAAAATGAATGAATGAATGAATGAATGAATGAATGAATGAATGAATGAATGAATGAATGAAGTTGTCGTAAATAAACTGAAAAAGCCCCCCAGGAAGATTTGTAATATTTTTTGTAATATTTTTTCCTTTAATTATTTTTCATTTATAAAGATATTTGTGTATTGCTATACATCCTGTCTGTATTAAGCAATGTGTAAGCTAGGCGCATAACTAACGCCATACCAGGGCGCGATTAACCAATGGAAACAACATAACTAAAGAGCGCAACAGACAGCAGTGGCATAGCTCATAAAGCACATGGCAATATCTTTTGACACGATCTATCATGAACTCGGTTCGAATCCAGCGTCTGATGAACACGATCTTCTTTTTTTTCAATAATTATCAGATTTTGTTGCTGATTCTCACTGATTACACACACAGTCAACTATGTTTCTAACTACAGCTTCAGAGGTGGTGCTCAAGTTCGAGTGCTCAAGTTTGTGACGCAGTATGTGAATGTTCATTGAAGCGACAGATTTGGCAAACGGCAAATCAGCCAACAATGTTTGTTACAACATAGGAACTTGCAACCTTAGTTGGCTAACGATGGTTTTGGGAAACACACCCCTGTTTAGTGAGCATTATGATCCATTTTCTCTTGCCTTGCCGTGTTTGACCTTTGCTTTTTTACTTAGTTTGCCACCTTTACGTTAGGGATTATCTGTATGCAACTGTTTGTTCCTGTTTCAACCTTTGATTATAAGATGATTCTCTTAATAAACTGCTCTTTGGATCCTCAATTTTGTTGTCGAGGCACCCTCACATAACACTAACCTTGTTTTTGGTGTTAAATAATGACCAAATGTTATTTGCAAAAAAGAAATGAAAAAACTGAAATATATCAGTTATTTATTCTGTTTTGGAGTTAAACCTACATATCCTAAAAATATTTGTTAATATATTATAGTTTCTACTTAAATTTACATTGTTTTATGACAACAGCAGTTATTTGTACTTAAGCTTTTTTATAATCATTCTTTAAAAGCTTTTTTGTCTGTTTAAAGGCATGTTAAAAGTGGAAAATTTTATGGAATATTTAGAAATTTCGTGCTTAATTACATTAATTAATCTGTATTATCTTTATTCTGTAAAATTACAGTACTAATCTTTATAATCACATTAATTAGGTTGTATAATACATTACAAACCTGTATGATTACAGTTATAATGTTTAAAATCACATTAAATGATCTATATAATTACAGTAATTACCTGCATAATTACAGTAATAATCCTATTAATTAATCTGTATAACTACAACAATAACCTGCATAATTACAGTAATAATCATTATAATCACATTATTTAATATGTATAATTACAATAATAACTTGTATAATCACAGTAATAAACATTATAATCACATAAAATAATCTATAATTACAGTGATAACCTGCATAATTAAAGTAAGAATCATTATAATTACATTAATTAATCTGTATAATTACATTAATAACCTGCATAATTACAGTAATAATCTTTAAATCACATTAAATAATCTATATAATTACAGTAATAACCTGCATAATAATAATCATTATAATTATATTAATTAATCTGTAGAATTACATTAATAATCTTTAAAATCCATTTAATAATTTGTATAATTACAGTAGTGACCTGCATAATTACAGTAATAATCATTATAATCACAATAATTAATCTGTACAATGACAGTAATAACCTGCATAATTACAGATATAACCTGCATAATTACAGTAATAAACATTATAATCACATTAATCTGTATAATTACAGTAATAACCTGCATAATTACAGTAATAAACATTATAATCACATTAATCTGTATTACAGTAATAACCTGCATAATTACAGTAATATTTATTATAATCACATGAATTCATTTGTATAGTTAAATAAATAACAGTAAAATTACAGTAATAATTTTAAAATCACATTAATTCAACTGTATAATTACATTAATAACCTGCATATTTACAGTAATAATTTTTAGAATCACATTAATTAATCTGTATAGTTAATATTAATATTAGTATTGATATTAATATTAATATTAATTTTAATCTATATGTTTTTTTTTCTGTTTTTTCTGGTTATAAAAAAAACCTGCTGCCAGAAAATTACAGTTTTTTTTTTTTTTTTTTTTTTATAGTGTAGCACGTACCTGTGGATATAGTTTTTTTATATACTGTTTGATTCTTTGTTTGTTTGTCTATTATTTCCTGTGTTACACCGATAAAAAAACAACAACAAAATATTAAAAGATTTGGTTTTTCTTATTAACATTTCCTGTTATGATAATAATCTTATCTTATCAAAAAGCTTTGCATGTGTGTTGTGGAAAGCCGAGTCACATCAAAGCCGTGGATTCCGCTGCTGATCCCTTAACCTGACAATGAGCTGGCCGCAATCTGCCTTTTTTTAATTATGCAAATGGACTAACAAAAGAGGCTTATCTTATGAGAGCAGTTCACAAACATGACAGCAGCAAAATAGCGAGAGGTGGGGGAGAAAAGAGGGTGAGATGCTGCAGGGGACAATAGCTCTTGAGCTTTTTTTAACTGTACTGTGTAATAATCCCCCATCTGGGTTAGGTCAGATCAGCTCTGTTAACAAAAGCCTGAAGTGAATATGGAGAGGAGTGAACAGGATTTATTTACAGCACACTAACAGAGAGAAAAAGAGCGCTTATGTAGAACCGGGATCACCCAAACAAGCCGAGCGCAGATGCAGATGGGTAGAGAGAGAGAGAGCGCTGCTGTGTTTCTGGCCAGTGATTCATGCGCAGTCATTATGTAAGAGAGAACACTCAGAAACTCAGCGTTTACACACATCTACATGAGCTGCTTTGATGGAGATGATGGCAGAAGGGAACAAGAAATGCACACAGAGTTTAAAAAAGGAGGATATGAGAAAGAGAGGGAAAAGGAGAGCAAGCGAAACATTGATATCAAGACAAAGCAGAGGAAAAGAGATCAGTAAACTACAGATGTGGAACACTCAAAGCAGATGGGTTCGGATTCTGATACACTTCCAAGCAATTAGGGAATTTAATGTAAAAAGAGTGAATAACAGATTTGGTGAATAACAGAAGAAATGGTTCATTGTTTTCAAGAGAAGATAATTACTAGTTTCATAAAATTGCTGCAAAATAGGAAAAAGGAAAGCTTGTTTTGGATGCACATCTACAGAAAACTAAATATTTTCATTGTATTCATTTTTATTATTGTGCTACTTCAACTTGTTGACTTATTTAATAACATATATTTTTATTAATTTCATTTTCCTTCAGTTTAGTCCCTTTATTCATCAGGGGTTGCCATAGCAGAATGAACCTCCAACTTATTAGCATATGTTTTACACAGCGGATGCCCTTCCAGCTGCAACCCAGTACTGAGAACCACCCATGCTGACTCAGTCACGCACATACACCATGGCCAATTTAGTTTACTCAATTTAGTGCATGTCTGGACTGTGAGGGAAGCCAGAACACCTGGAGGAAACACAGGCCAACACGGGAAGAACATGCAAACTCCACACAGAAATGCCAACAGGGCCAGCCGGGACTCAAACCAGTGACCTTCTTGCTGTGAGGCGACATTGCTAACCACTGGGCCCCAAAATGTATGAGACTTATGGCAATGGTAATAACTTTAAAATGCTGCGTGTTAGCTTAAACAATAAAGTGTTCTGAGAGTGCGTACACGAGTTGGCCCCAGATAAGCGATTGAAAATGATTGGATGAATTGAAAATATAAAATATGAAATTTCATTTATTTTACAAATCACTTTTGATAGATTAGTTTTAGATACTAATAGATCTATATAATAATAGCATTGTCTTTTACACACAGGAATAACACATACATCTGAGTGTGTTTGACTTACTCTTGGCTTTCTCACTCTTGCGTGATGGTCTCCAGCGTATACAGGAACGGTGTTCATCCAAATAGAAGAGTCGGACCAGACCTTTAGAACCCGTCTTCAGCTTCACCATCTGAGTCCCCGACTGCATCACACTCATGCATCGCTCAACTGGACAAAAACAAACACAAACACACTGAGTGGCCTGACAGACACTTCAGGTGAAAAGTTGACAGATGTAGGGTAAAATTGGCTGAAACTATGGATATTTTTAGATGGGGTGACAATGGGCATCATTTTGACAACACATATCAAGGAGGGATGTGACAAAATGATACTGGTGTTCTGTCAATTTGTCCTCATCTGTTGAGAAGGGTCTGAATGCAGACCTGGTGCAGTTACAGTCTAAGCTGCATGCGATGCTGATTAATGCGCTCACCCCACCCCTAACCCTATCCCTAGTAACATCACTAGCTCCAGACTCTAGTATCTAACATTGCATCTCTGAGATGTGCAATCTCATCTTGCATCATCAAGGCTGCATCCACAAATGCTTGCATCTGTCAGATTTTCCAACCTCTCATTCAAAAAGTATGTAGCACATTTTGATAAGGAAATATGCTACCCATCATATTTTGCCATTTACCAGTGTAAATTTTGATGTGGAGAATTGTGATATGAGGCTGTATTATTGCCCTGAATCCACCTCAACCTGGGAACCATTTGAATACAGTGTCGTTAGCATAATCTGGCAGGGGCGTAGCAGCAATTTAAAAAGTGTGTGTTGGGGCTGTGTAAAACATATGGTGGATAAGTTGGCAGTTCATTCTGCTGTGGAGACCTCAAATTAATAAAGGGACTAAGCCGAAAATAAAATGAATGAATGAATGAATGAATTTTTATCAATATCAAACAACATATTCTAGTCATTTTAAATGGTTTTATTAAACAGTTACATTATTCAAAATAAGAGTTTGGTCTTTGAACATCTTAATTAATAGAAAGACATTTAAATTCAAACCAATGATTTTAAATAAACACAAAATTTCAAACTTTTTTTGTTGTTTCTCTTAATTTTTCCCCCTTTTTTACCCTCAACATATTAATTTGGGTGATTTGGTAAAATTTTCGGATTGTGATCTTTAGTTTATTGTTAGATTAGTTCCAGTTTTGACTAATATAATGTAAAGCAATAAGCAATAATAATAAAGCAATAGTTATCCCCTGAAAAAATTGCCAAATAAGTTCAAATATTATATTATATTATATTATATTATATTATATTATATTATATTATATTATATTATATTATATTATATATTCATACATTTTCTTTTCGTCAGCATATTTTTTTTAAATAGCGGACACCCTTCCAGCTGCAACCCATCACTGGGAAACATCCATACACACTCATTCACACATATACACTAAGGACAATTTAGCTTAACCAATTCACCTGTTCCACGTCTTTGGATTTGTTTGGGAAACGGGAGCACCTGGAGGAAACCCACGCCAACATGGGGAGAACATGCAAACTCCACACAGAAATGCCTTCTGACACAACCGAGGCTCGGTCCCTTTTGTGAAATATATATATAATTTTTCAAATGTTTCCCAAGTGACGATTAACAGAGCAGAAATATATTTACAAGAATTTTTCCTCTTTCTTAAGTTTTTTTTCTTTTAGTTTTGCTGAAATAAAAGCAGTTTTTGTATATATTCTTCAGTATTGTGCAGCCCTTGTTTTAACAATTGCAATCAAGCCACATAAAAGAAGGTTGAAAAGGGTTCAGAAAGCCAGCTGCAGACTCCAAGAGCCTTGAGAGAGGTTCAACAACAGCCAAAATGATGCAAGAGAGCCAGTAACCCAGCTCATCTTCTTGACTGAGAGAGATGGAAACTCCCTGTCCTGCTGGGCCACCGGGACCAATCGGCTTTACATCGGCTGACAGATCTCAAGGACTCTAAATAAAACTTCTCTCTGCGAAAAAAAGAGAGAGCTGCAAAGACAAGCTCAGATGAGAACATATGAACAAGTTCGTTCCAAATCACTTTGCACCATGACACACGTGTGCTTCAACTCATCTGCTCCATTAGGGGGAAGACAGGAGGAACATAGAAAACCTCAAAACTGTCTTTCCTAAAGCTGTTGAAACATTCACAAATCTGTCAAGCTCTACTTTATGCTGCAAGTGTGATTTCAGGCTGAAATCAGTGAGGAAAATCGAGCAAGGACACCTGAGGGTTTATAGGACAAATGAGCTTTTGGATGACAAATATGTCAAATTAATGACAAATAATGACAAATAATGTCAAAAAATTAAATGCCCCATGACATTAAAATAAAGCTTTTTAGATGTAGCATTTGTATGTTTGTTTAAAGGATATCTATTAGATAGTGTGCTTCAAAACGGTGACAAAATTCGCATTCACAAGATATAAACATCTAAATCCTGCTGTTTGTCACATCCATCTAAATGGATTAATGATTCTTTTGACATCACCTCATACTTCAGTTTCATACATCACTCTGCATCTGACATGTCCCGTCCAATTCAAGATGCTTCTCATTTGCTTTTCATTTGATGTGATGTTCAACCACTCTTAATGAGCTGCGATGAAAACAAAATTATATTTGGCTGTTTTTATACATAGAAGGACTTACTAAAAGTCCAGCCCTGTCTTCATGTTTCAGTTGAGAATACATCAAATGGCTTTAAAACATACTATGTCACTATATTATACCACTTTGTTACCAAAGTGTCTGGAGTACTGTAATGAATATGTCTATTCAAGTGTGGAAACAGAAATGACAAATTTTAACTAAATGTCATCAAAATATTTTTGAAAGTAACAAATTACGTTCAAGAGTAAAATAAAGTGGCAATTTTAGTAGTTTTTAATTGATACATAGTCTGTAATAGTCTGTATAACTTATTGCACAATATATTGAGGAATAATAAAAAACACATGAATCATAAGGCAACTGTAAAGAGGAACAGCCTTTTTTTAATTATTTAGAATATTTTTTTTTCTGTGCTTGATTCTGTGTATTTGTGTAACAGAAATTGGCAATGGATATTTTGATGAATATTATGGATATTTATTTTTTTAAATGATGAATGTGAAGAACTAACTAACTAACTAACTAACTAACTAACTAACTAACTAACTAACTAACTAACTAACTAACTAACTAACTAACTATATACACTCACTGGTCACTTTATTAGGTATAACTGTCTAACTGCTGGTTAACGTTACCTTTTAATCGACCAATCACATGGCAGCAACTCAATGCATTTAGGCATATAGACATGGTCAAGAGGATCTGCTGCAGTTCAAACCTGGCATGGTTGTTGGCACCAGACGGGCTGGTTTGAGTATTTCAGAAACTGATGATTTGCTGACTGGGATTTTCATGCACAACCATCTCTAAGGTTTACAGAGAATGAGCCGGAAAAAAATAAAAAATAGATAAATAAATATCCAGTGAGAGGCTGTTCTATCTATGCCACAAAGAATTAAGTCAGTTCTGAAGGCAAAAGGGTGTCCAACCTAGTAGTAGTAAGGTGTACGTGGAATTGGCTGGAAAGTGTATATAAATGCCAAAACTGGAAACGTTGGCAGCTATCTGAAATTTAAAAAAAAAACTTTACAAAAAAAACTTTACAAACAAGTAGTAAAATTGCTAAAACTAAAATATTCTGAAAAAAAAAAAATACAACTGAAATAAAGACAAAAACTTTAAAAAGACAATCAAACCTGTATATAAAGGCAGGTTCCCAGAAATAAATTAAGCTATGGTACTGGTAATATATCCTTAAGACATTTGTTACATGATATCTTACATTTCTGTATATGGAGCTCTAAACAGTTCTTCTTAACATAGGAGATTATCAAAACATTTTATTTGCATAATACCCCAGTACTAACATTACATAACATTATATGCAACATCATGATTTATTTCAGTTCAAACACATGCTTGTAGACAACATACTGGGGAAGATACAGATCAACTGGAGTAGGATTTAACATAATGGACAGGACAGTTGTGAGGGATTTAAAAAACTAATCTTTCTCTCAGAAAGCAATGTCAACATGATGCAAATGCACACACACACACACACACACACACACACACACACACACACACACACACACACACACACACACACACACACACACACACACACACACACACACACACACACACACACACACACACACATAAATAGTTAGGAAACACTTCTCTACTAAGTGATTAGAAGCACTTAATGGATGAAGGCTCAGACACTGTGTCAATTCACACAGCCTATAATGCTGAAGTGGAATTAACAGTTCTGAAATTAATTGAAGGATAAAAAGTCAGAAAATAGAATACAGTAGGGAAAAAGTACGTAAGAAAAAGTAATCTGTCTGCTCCAGTTTACACAGGATGGACAGCAGGTTTCTAAGCTAAGATGCTTATAGAGAACCCATGTTAGATTCGGGTCTCTGCATAAAAACAATACATTTCTGAAACCCAGATTATAGAGGGCAGGTGATGAAATATCTACAAAAGATCCAAAACATTTGCTCAGTACCTTCTATGCTCTCCACAAATTCATCTGTTTATCAACATCCTCTTCCTGTCCCTCCCAAAGCTTTGGCCCACTTACACTATCAGCAGTTCACAGATCGGCACACAATCCACAATCCAATTAGATCTTACATGACCATGAAAGACATTGCTTTCTATTCCCATTTCAAACATCTTCTAACTATGGGTGTAACAGTTCATGTAGCCATCCTGAATCATCATCAGTACACTGGCACACTGTAAAAAACACAGTACGTTATGGTACAATGTAAAAAAATCTATTATCAATGTCCCATATTTCAATTCAAATGTGTAAATGCATTATTATTATTATTATTATTATTATAAATAAATAAATGAGGAACTTCATTCATTCATTTTCTTGTCAGCTTAGTCCCTTTATTAATCTGGGGTCGCCACAGCGGAATATACCGCCAACTTATCCAGCAAGTTTTTCCACACACACATTCATACATACTCATACACTATGGACAATTTAGCCTACCCAATTCACCTGTACCGCATGTCTTTAGACTGTGGGGGAAAATGGAGCACCCGGAGGAAACCCACGCGAAGGCAGGGAGAA